ACGGATGTGAAACGAAAACGTCTTTCTCCCAACAGCGAAATACTCTTCAGAGAAACAGCATGGGGAGTACTTATGAGAGATTAGCTGGGTAGTGCCTGGCATATACATCTACATCTACAGGGGGCACAGAGGAGGCACTGCCTCCGATTGACAGATGTAAAAGTGTCGTCTGTCTGGCTGACATTGATGCATTCGAACTGGTATTCGTATTCCCATCAGTCCGCCGATTTGCAATACATGATGCACAATGTTGGGATGGGTCGATAAGGTCTGCCCTGAAAGGGAAGACAGCCTGGGAATGGGTATCTCCAACACACATCATTCCATACAAAATGATGTATCTTTCGGTCTCGGTTCAGTGAGTTTGGCAGCTAAGATATCAACTTGCAATTTAAATTAATTATTTTTTCAACTTGCACTCCAAAATCAGGCTTCAAATTCAGTTGAAACCTAACTTTAATTTTCATTTTATTTCACATTAGAAAAAGGAATAAAACTTAAGTTTTAACAACTGGGAAATGCTTTATAGATGTAAGACGCAATCAGATCTGGAAGATATCCGCCAAGGGGATGTTCATAGTTCGTGTATATGATGAGTAATTAAGTTGTTGCGAGCTGTATGGCTTAAGAATTCGCGCCCGAAGGCTTGTATGGCACAATTTCTGTAAAATATTGTAAATCAGCTCTAGTTGCGTGCTAAATAGAGTTTTCCATCAAACTAGCGTCCATTTATCTTCCCAGGAAGTGGAATCGTTCGTCCGCCAGTCCGCCAGTCCACCAGCTAATCGGAATGAGTAAGACTTCAACCTTTGCATCCGCAGAAGTAAAATTGCTCTCGCAAATGTTCGCAAGTCCACAATCGCGGCACTTTCGCACCACAGGTGGTTCCACGGAATCTCGTGCATCCAGACACGCAATCCACAAAGGAAGCTAGTGAGTCAATTTCACTGCGGTAGCTTATTTATCGACGGCCACAAAGGTTCTAATGAAAGCTGTCAAGAACTTAAAGATTTCGCCACTCTATTGGTTTATGGTTTACTAATTCGTGTAGGGCAGTAAGTAAAGACATTATCCCATAAATCGGATAAAAAGGAAATAGCTTGGGGACTATAAAGAAGACTTCAACCATTGCATACATACATACATATACAGCAAATATATGCCAATACTTGTATAACAATCGGGTGCAAGCACAGCTTTTATTATGAAATGATTAAGCCTGAAACTTAGCCAGAAGGTTACCATGGGCTACACAAAAGAGAACCCCTCGCATTCCTTGAGGTTTAAATGGACAAAAAGCGACGACACGAAGGACTCGACGTCTGGCAACTGGGATTCTACGTGCCTTTACTTGCGAGTACCACTGCCTCTCGTGCCCCTTATCTTTTTGGGAATGACAAAAGTTGCTGGTGCTACTCAAATCATGCAACCTTCCGTGGCTACCCCGCTGCATGGTCCGCCAACCTTGTGGATATTTCAATTCAATCAAAGGAAAGCAGCGCGGACCGCTGATCATGCCCCGGCAACATGTTCATTTGTCATGGCTGGGGATGGGTCAGGCTCCGGCCGAGGATTGGGGGACTGGGAACTGAGTGCGCCCAGCGGGAACGCCAACACCTAAACACCCAAAGACCCAAGACCCCGGGCCAGCACAGCACCGACATACACATAAATCGCCTGCGAAGTGACCCTTGCCGGTGCCAAGGTAATTGCGTACTTACCGCTCTCAGCGGAACCTGAACCTATCCAAAGCCAAGCGAACCGTAAGGTGGATTCGAATTCCCTCGATTGCGTGCCCGTTTCGGGAATAGATTTATCGTCTCGTTTGAAATCCGCACTTTATTTATGGTAGCTTGGCCACATTTCTTTGTGGATGCCCCCTCCTACTCTTATTATTTATTATTCTATCAAGCGTTACACTGTCAGCACCAGCACAATTCACTACGCGCACTTCCAGACGATTACGAGATCTCCAGGCGATCGAGATCCGAGCGATGGTCGAGGCACTACCGTACGAGGCGACCTCACGAAAGAGTCTGCAGCGTTGCAGTTGCTTTGAAGCTTTGAAGCAAGACAACTTGCAACTTGTTGCACGCAACATGCTGGTCTGCGATGTCCGCTGAGAAATGGGCTCTCCAAAATGTTTAATGGTTAACTTCTAAATTAAACAAATAAATACCTTGACTCCTCTAAGAACTAACTAATATTATTTATCGATTCTTATATTTAATTACGTTAAGAAGAAAAACGCTTAGTTAGATTTTAAAAATATTTCGTTGTCCATTTGTATTACTTGATATTTTATTTATATATATTAAATAAAACTACTTACTTAGTCCAACATCTATGGAGATGTTTTTAAGTAAAGCAGAATCCTTACCAATATATGTATGAGGAAATTTGAATATCTTTACAAAATCAGTCGATCTCAAAGATAACTTGTTCAGGTTTGGCCTTTTATTAAAAACCGCTAAGCTAATTTTGGCAGACATTAGACAGATGACTTAAACTACACAGATCCATTTCCATCAATGGAACATAAGTTGACCTGAAAGACTAAAACAGCCTTGACCTACAAAACTTTTCCAACCTATCAACTAAGCTTGTTAAATATGTAAATATGTAATTCTACTCCTCGGGACGAGTCTCGCTGTAGAAGCCCAGATTCATTGTGGGAATCATGTTGCTGTAGAAGGACAGTTCCGCCGCCGAAGGACGCATTGGCTGGGGTTCCTGAACTACCGGAGCCGTCATAGCCACTGGAGCCTGTTCGGCCATTTTTAGGGGCAGAACAGAAGCCTCTTGAGCCCGCTGGGCCATCTTGTGCTGCAACTGATGAACCTTAAGGTGATTCTCCAGCTCAATTTGATGCAGAAAGCTAATGCAGCAGATTCCGCACGTGAAACTGGGCCCATGGGCTTCCAGCTCATGGCGCTGCAGTTGCTCGCGTCGGTTGAAACCTTGATTGCATGTCTTGCAGGCGAACAGCGAGTCCATGTGAAGAGCTCGATGGCGTTGCAGGTCCCTCTCCCGTTGAAAAGTTCGATCGCAGACATCGCATCGGTAATTGCGCGAGTTTTTGGTTTGTGCGGGAGCCTTTTGTTTTGCCTGGAACGCCTGTTGCTGCAAGTCACCCTCCATCGGGGGAATTTGACCCATTTGCTGCTGCTGCTCTACGTCCCGCCTGGTGTGGACTTGCTGGTGGGCTAGCAGCTTATCCTTGCGCGAAAAGGAGTAAGGGCAGCGGCCACATTGAAAAGCCTTTACCTCTCCGTGTGATCGTGTATGGCGCATCATTTCCACAGCCGTCTGGAAAGATCGCGGACACTGCTGGCAAACAAACGGCTTGACACCGCTGTGAATGCGCATATGCTTGGTCAGATTGGTGTTCCGCGAGAAACTCTTGGAGCAAACGTTGCATGTGTAGGGCCTCACGCCAGTATGCACGATTGTGTGCTTTTTAAGATCGGAGCGGCGCACAAAGCCCTTCCGACAGTGGGCACACACATACGGACGCTCCGGGTCATGCAGTGTCTTTATGTGCGAAATCAAAGCGGGCCGGGTAACCAGCTTAAGATTGCAGTAGGTACAGCAGTACGGCGCATTAGGATCATGAGCAGTCCGCTCGTGCTCTTGACAGTCGACGGGCAGGGTGAAACCCAGATCACAGTATTGACAGAGGAACGCCCGTTTGGGCCGTGCCTCCGCGTTGTTGGCATTGGTGGCAACGGTCTTTTGAGCCGCCATCTGGGCCGCATCCATGCCCAATGGCATGTCGACGTCGTCGCCGTTCTGGCCATCTTCTTCGTCGTCCTCATCATAGTCTTCCTCCTCCTCATCATCATCGTCGTCATAGTTTTCGAACTCCCCGTCGGAGCCGAGTGCGAACTCGTCTTCACTGCTGTCAGCCATCTTCTCTGGATCGACGTCCACAATAATGCAGCCTTCCTCGGGCACAAATTCTCCGGGGTTTCCATTTAAGCCTGGACGGTACTTGGGATTATCTTTAATCAGCTCCTTTAATTGCTCCTGCAGGGACTGTTCCCGCTCCTGCATCCCTCTTCGCAGTTCGAAGGCATCTTTCACGATCTCCAGACAAGTTGAGCAAATGAGCTCCGACAAACATTCGTGGCGATCGTACTGCAAGTGGAGAAGTTATTTATGCACTTGTCCCATGGATTATCAAAAGCCCACTCACATGAACGCTCCAGAGACCCTGGGAAACCTCTGCAATGGACACATCCTTGCAAAACTCCACAGTGCCACCGAAAATGTTTAGCGAGTTGGGATCCGTTTCACGGTGGCACAACCGGCAAGTGCTCACATCCTCATCCTGGGTTATGTTGATCTCCGATGAATGCATTCTTCGATTATATGCATTTAAACCAGAATTGCATTAGATTATCAAACTGTTCAAGCAAACAAAAAGCCGCACCGGTGGAAATAAAACGCGTTGGTTAATGGTCAATCCACCACGATAGTATCGATAAGTCGCGAAATTTAACAACATGGCCCAATCGATTGTCGGAGGAAATCGATATACCGCTGCACAGTGGGTTACTTAAATGATTTATTGGAATATTTTAAAAAGCCACAACCAATTGAAATTGCACTATTTTGCATTTCAATAAAGTTCAGATTCATAAGAGTACTTTTCCATTTTAATATATTTAGTTTTCCATTTAATATATTTGGACCATAATTTTAGTAACTAATAAACTTATTTCTGAAATCTGATGCGCAAAATAAAGATCAAAGTGTTTAGTGTGTAATGGGGATGCGCAAATAGAATACAATGTAATTTCTTCCAACACGTTGACATTTTAAAAACTATTCCATAAAATATCTATTATAAGATTTACATAAGTATTTATTGCTAGTGCCACACTTTTAAATAAGAGTTGCATGTACCATTAAAGCAGCTCAGGAAATTAAAGTTATTGTTTAGAACGCGCATTGTACTTAATTGATGCGTACCTATGTAGGTACATGCGGTGAACATGCGAAGCGAAAGCTTTTTCAATTGCCCGCGGACTGTTGATTAAAGCGGAGGTATTTTTGAGTGCCGGCACTTTTTCGGCGAAAGTGGAAATTGTTTGAAAATCTGCGTGTACGCGCTAATATTTCGTTAACTAATCCTGATTGAGTGCTTGCGCGGGTTTTGTTTAATAGCAGTGCGATTATTTGTTCTTTGCAAAGTAACTGACGTTCGTGTAGAGGAATTTATTGCATTGCAGATGCTGCAAATTACACTAGAACGCACACATACACATCGCAAAACAACTGTTACGCCTACGCAGCAGCAGAAACAACAACAACAGCAGCAACAGCGAAGGAATTAGCAGCAACAATTTTCCACCCAAAGAGGGAAATAACTGTTCCGTGAGTTTGTACAATTTGGGCTGCATTTGTTGTTGTCCTCCCACGTACTTTTTGTCTTTATTATGCTCCTACTGCTTCTCCATCCTCCACTCCTTTTCTCTCCCCACCACCTCCCTCTTCCACAACAATCCTCTCCCATGCGGTTAGTGTGTTATTCCCGTCCTGAAGGAATAAAAGCAACAGCAACCCCGTGTACATTTATTGTTCTCTCCCCCATTGCACAGAGAGAAAATTTTGAACGTCATCACTTTCAATGCTTTTATTTTGATTATATAATTGAAATGATTAACTAATTGGATTGAAAACACATTGTGCTTTTAAGATTTTTCAATAAATATGAAGAACACTACTTGATATTATGATAAATTTGTAATATTTTAAATCAAGTTGAAAGTATTACAATTATTACATAAACAAAAAGCACACTTCATTTCCAATTAACATTGCAGTGTGAGAATTGAATTATTATTTTTTTCTGTGTACCTATCATGCTGTTAACCCGAGCTTGGTCTTACGCCCTGTAGTTCCCATGAGTGTTACTTGTTTTGCCACCAAGTCCCTGTTGATTTTGGGTTATTGGGATTCCTCACTTTTCACTGTTGCCATGGTGCGTATATAAATGAATAAGTGCGTGAATAATTCATGAATAAGGACTACGAAAAAGGGAATTTATAATGTTATGAAATTTCCAAAATTGGGCTCTTCCAAATGCGACTATTAGCCTATTTAGCCTATCATAGGCTTATGATTTAAAAAGTTGTTAAGAACAAAAACAATATCGCTGCGCACTAGCTACGCTGAAAAGGCTGAACCATAAAGATAAAATATAATTGTTAAAGTTAAATCAGCGCAAAGATTGCATTTTAGCTTAATGACAGGTTAAAGCACCTTGAAGCAGATAATATCACCCTATCGAATGAGCAAATTTGCTATCCTATGAGACTTCTGCTAATTTAATGTTTGTTTACACTTGCGTGCAATTACCTCGAAACATAGGAATATGGCATTTGCCGGACACATGAGAGTGCCTTCCAGTTTGGGTACAGTGAAAAACAACCAAAGATTAGGGTCCTAAACATTCCACTCGGCAATTAAGTGATCATTCGATGAGGAATGTCCAATCAGCAGATCAAATGAATCTGTGTCGTGACTCAAGCTAGGTCTAGTTCTAGAGCTTAGAGTCTTCTCGTTGACTTTGAACTTGACTTGAAACGCAGACGCTAAATTGACCGGCAAATGGAGACTGTGGAGAAGGTCCAGGCCCCAGACCCCAGACCCCGGGTCCGGACTTAAGTTAATTTCCGCCCTCGTCACACGCGTAGCAGCTTTGTAACGAAACAATGCCCATCATGACCCCGTCGTGAAATCATGCCACAATCTTATCAGTACCCTGAGCTTGTGCTGGCTGAATGAATCCCGTGTTCCCCTGTCCCATTCCGAACGCTTCGCTGAGATGGTCGAACGTCGATACTGATAATGGAAGTCAAAGCATTTACCCCCTTCGCGATATATTGAAAGCAGGCGGTGCCGGTGGAAATTGTTAACAAAAAGTCAAACAAGTGCAGTAGATAAATTGATTTTAGCACACTGTCAGAAATGTAAGTTAGAATCTTGACCCCTTTGAGTGCATAGTACTTATCTGAAATTTCTTCATTTGCATTCTAATCACTTGCAGGCTGTAAAACCATATCTGTAATTTACTTCTCTTTTAGCCCCCTAGAATAATAACAATGTAAGCTCTTATAGTTTCTTATATCATTGCTTAGTTTTCCGTGTGTACCTGGAACCCAATAAACGCAGAGGTATAAATAACGATAAACACGTGGAAATTCTATCGCCTAGCGTTTGTTTTTTGCAGAACCAATAACATAAGCCATTTATGACCAATTACTGAGCCGCTATATCGAAAGTCTAATATCGCATTGCAAATTAAGTACAAAGTTAGGACGAAAATGTGGCATTCACAATAATTTCCATACACGTTATGGAAAAAATCAATGAAAATCCAAGGAAATGGCATAACCACTAGATCTTGGCGCTTGATTAAGCCCTATTAGTTTCCATTCAACACGTAATTACTCTGCAAAAGGTCACGTCGGTATCAAGAGTTTGACATCAGTTCAGAGCTTCAACAGCCTAATTTCGTATATGTATATGTATATGCTATAATTACAATTGTCTTAATTGCTATTGCCAACATTGGAAGTCGTTTCGTATATAATTTACAAGCACAGGTTGTTAAAAGTAACTCAAGATCGACAAAACAATTGAAAGCAACTAAGTTCTGATTAGACCTCCAGTGCTGGAAGCTGAATTTAATATTGATATTGATGTGGTCATAAAGATAAAAGGATCATGTGATGAATTTGGAACCAAAAATGTACCAATCTCACGTAGACTTCTAATGTTTAAAGTACCCTTGGCGATATGCATAATGAGTTTAATGTTGCAAAATACACGCATCCCTTGTGTGTAATTACTTGAAATATAAAGTTGGAGTAATGATGTTCCTTCAAAAGTACATATGAGCTCTAACCTGAATGTCAAAGTTCGAGCTGTGAATTTCAGCCAAAAGTACAAACAAAGTAACATTGAATACCCGGCTTTTTTCGCTTAAGCGTTGGGTTGGATTGTACTTACTTACCACTTACTAGTTCTTCCCACTTCAGTATAACTATTCTTTTATTATTTATGTGTAATCTTTTAATCAAGCTGATTGTCCTCTTTCATTAATAACGAAAATGTGTGTTGCTATAAAAAGATTACCATACCATAAAACAACAGTAATCTCTTGGCAAAAGCAAATGCCTCCTTTTCGGGCCACTCGAGGCGTATCGCCAGCAGTTGATTACCATTGTGATCTCTCGAATCTACAATGTATGAACTATTCGTCATGGTTTTACCAAGAGCTGATAGAGAAGCTAAGTCGAACGTTTTGCTTATAACATGTATCAGCGAGATATCAAAGTTCACTGCCTTAATTCAAACAAAAGCAATTGGACACTTTCTGATAAGTCGTGCGCGATTCCCAGTTTAAACGGACCCACCTGTCAGTGGACTTCTCAGTTTTATTTGCCCCACCGGCGGTATCGGACGTGAGGCGACCTTGTTAAGGTTTGTTACCAAAGGGATAACGCTCGTATTTATAATCCAACTTGAGAAACATGGAAGTACTGGCAATAAAGCATTAATCACGCCAACTTCTAGTGGAACTATTTGTTCTGTTTGAAAAGCTATGGTGGAATATGGGTATAGAATTGATAAAAGCATCACATGATAGTTTGTTGACCAATCAAGACTGTATGCAAATTAGAGGGAATTGAAAATAATTGCCGCAGTGCGCCTTTTTCAACAATCTCGTAATCCCAAGTCTTTTTAAATTCAATAATGAGGATTTTTTGAATGAGCTTAGTCACGAATGTTGATTTTTCACTTTAGCTTGTAGCTTGTAGAAACCCAAGCATTAAATGTTCAATACAAAGGCCCAAGATTTCGAAAGATATTCGTTCAGCTTATAAAAATTACTATCAGTAATCATTTAAATTAAATATTTGTTATTATTTCAGAAAAGGGTACCTTTGCGGCTAAGTAGCTTCACAAAATGGCTTGCACATGCGAAGTAATTGGCCTGGCCTGCGTGGTGGCTCTAATCCTGAGCGCTACAGCCAAGGCTCCCTATCAGATGCGCATGTTCTTTATATTTTTTGGAGCTGGTGTGATAGTCTTTCTGTGCGTGCCCTTTATGATCCTGCGACCGAGGGACTATCGAAACGCGCTGTAAGTAAAAATACCTAACGCGCCCACCAAGTTTCCAAATTTATTCGAATATTTCAATCTTACAGTTTTCCATCATGGTGCTTCCGCCAGCTTTGCCGCCTGGTGGGCATAACAATGGAGGTGCGAGGTCTGGAGAATGTCCGTAAGGACCACGGCGCAGTGGTGATCATGAACCACCAGAGTGCTGTTGATCTTTGCGTTCTGGCCTATTTGTGGCCAGTGATCGGAAGAGCAACAGTCGTCTCCAAGAAGGAGGTTCTCTACATTCCATTCTTTGGCATTGGCGCATGGCTCTGGGGAACCCTCTACATTAACCGGTCCCGCAAGACCGACTCGATCAACTCTCTGCAAAAGGAGGCCAAGGCGATACAGGAGCGCAACTGCAAGCTACTGCTCTTCCCGGAGGGCACGCGGAACTCCAAGGACTCGCTGCTGCCGTTTAAGAAGGGTTCGTTCCACATCGCACTCCAGGGCAAGAGTCCCGTTCAGCCGGTGGTCATATCGAAGTACTCATTCATGGATGACGAGAAGAAGACATTCCGTCCTGGCCACGCCCTAATCCACATCCTTCCCGAGGTGTCCACCGAGAAGTACCAGAAGGAGGACGTACAGCTGCTGATCGACGAATGCCAGTCCATCATGCAGGCTGAGTACACAAAGCTGAGCAAAGAAGGCCAAGCCTCAAGCTCGAAGAAGCAGGCATAAGACTGGATAGGCTGGGATCAAACTCAGGTTACATAAAAATGACACCCAAACACCAGTGTATGTTGGGTTTGATTTGGGTTTTAATGTACAATCGATCTAAAAGATTTGCCTATCCATGGATGAGATGAATCAAAAGCAACGGAAAGCCGATATTTGAGGGACGTTAAACGGTTGGCCTAGTATTAAGCTTACACTATATCACCCCATCGGTGAATTTTCGATTAATATATTAATATATTAACTGTTTTACCTCCAGTACATGCATGTGTATGCCCAGAGCTTTTTTTCGACTTAGCGAGAAACAAACGGAAAACAAATTTTACAAGCGAAGAAAGCGCATTTGTTAGATGTTTAGCTTTATGCAAATAATGTATTGATTTATTTGTGAATAATGAAATGAGACCTATTTAATAAAACATTTTGCACTGAACAAATATTGTATTTTTGAATTCCTTTTTTTCCCGCCAAAGATGTGGTAATTGCCTATCGTTTACATCCCATCCACAGACGGAACAGCTGTCTCGATTGTCGATATCGATTGCCGGCTATACAATATTATTATTATTGTTTCGCCTTAATTTTATTTACTGAATTTTTATGTGTTTTTGGAAGCAACATTCTGTTTTACTAGCACGATTGCTGCACTGGTCGAACCCATCTATCTGAAAATCTGTTTTACCACTTATAAACACTTGTTTTGTAAACAAACAAAAATATGGCATCTGATGGGATGAATCCTCAATTGGCGGCAGATTCATCGCCAGGACACGGCCATACCCCTCAGAACGTGGGAACCAAGACTCCAGCAGATGTGGACCTAGGTGAATCGGAGCGGTCGGACAAGCTTTACGACATCGACAGAATCCGAGCGTTTGAGGATGTTCCTTTCCTGATCAGCCGCATGGAGCCCAAAGACACGATCGTGACATACGGCGATGCAGTAGAACAGATCCAGGTTTTGGTGGACTTTCTGCGAACGAACGAGGTCCCAGCCGGAGCCGGAATTGCCCTACGAATCACGGAGCACACGCCGGCCACTTCTCTAATGATCTTAGCGTAAGTATTTACGTATGTATGTTATCTTGTTGCTATTATATGAATTAAAGATTAATAATCATGCAGAATCCTCAACAACAAGGGTCACTTCTTTCCCACGGATAAAATGACGCTGTCCCAGGATCTGTGCGTACAGATGAGCACGGCCGGAGTGGACTACCTCTTGGTCAACAAACATTTGACCGTTGCACCTTTATACTTTACATTACTGGACAGTATCTTGGTATTTGAGGAGGACTGCAGGCTGTACACGGTCAAGGTGAAATCCACCGATCATGCTGTACAGACCAAGCCGCTGCCCGCCAATATGTGCTACACCATCTCCACGACGGGCACTACGGGAAAGCCAAAGCTCATACATGTGCCTTACGAATGCATCGCGCCCAACATAGTGGGGCTCAGGTAAATATCCACTGAATATACTAAAATTCAAACTGACCACTATGCCCCAAGCCAGAAATTAAACGTCTCCATGGCAGACATCATTTACCTTGGCACACCCATTACCTTCGATCCTTTTGTGGTGGAGTTCTTCCTAGCTCTTCAAAATGGGGCTACGTTACTGACCAGTCGTCACTCCATGAGAGACTCCCCTAGCAAGGTGCTAAGTGCCCTCTTCCCCGACAACCTGGCCACGCCAGGAATCACCATCCTGCAGATGACTCCATCGCTGTTTCGGCAATTTGGAGCTTCTTCCATCAGAGAGCGAGTGCTAAGCAGATCCAGTTCATTGAGGTGCTTTTTGATTTATATGTTTTTAGATCTTTATGAGAGCAACTTTAAGTTTTCTTTAGTTTATATATTCCTGTTGGGTAACATGTTATTTACGACTAATTGACATAGGCATCGTTTTCAGAGTACTGCTCCTTGGTGGCGAACCATTTCCCAGCAATGTCGAGCTCGTTACTTGGATGAGTCCCAGTGTGCTGCTGCAAAAACACATATGTAACATATATGGAATCACAGAAATATCCTGCTGGAGCCTCCTGCACATTGTTCAGTCATTACAATCACCGGTGCCTTTGGGAACTCCTATCGACAAGGATACGGTTATACGGATTGAATCCCAAAACGATGAAACTTCGCAGCAAGGAGAGCTATTTCTGGGTAGTAGCAGCCGTCGTTGCTATATACCAGAGGTTGATGACCAGACGAAAGCTTCAAGGGATGACTCGGGCATTTGTTTTAGGGCGACAGGAGATTTGGTCACTCGACAGCAGGATGGCACATTGTTCTACAGCGAGAGATCGAACGATGTGGTGAAGCGAGCTGGTAATCGGATTAGCTTGGGTAAGTTCTCCCAATGACTGTATGCTCTATTAATGTTTCACAAATATGCAGGTTTAATCACTCGAAAAATTCAAAAATGTCTGCCGAGCACTGAACTGACTACATGCCTGTGGCTCGAGGACTTGCAGAAACTTATTTGCTGCATTCGCTCTTTAGAGTCCAAAACTAGAGTTGAACAGCGCGTCCAGACCTTTGATATACTTTCCAAGGTATCGATTGCCGAGCAGCCAGATAGATTTGTCTATCTGCAGCACTTTCCCTGCAACGTACATGGCAAACTGGACAAGCAGCAGCTCCTCAAGATGTGCATTCCCCTTGCTCAACCAGCTCAGCAAATTTTAAAGAGTTATCTGCACGATAGACTGGAATGTGTGGAAGAGCCCGATGATAACTTAGCGAAAAGGCAGCGACTTGAAGACGCCGCTCCCTGTGGCTATGACTTAAGTTTTCGCCATGCTGGTGGCACGTCGTTCCATGCCATCACCATTTGTCGCGAGATAGGTCTACAAATGTGCATCGATGATGAGCAACGCCACTTGTTCGAAATGCTACTAGATGAAAATATTCCGTTGCGCACAGTGCTCAGATTTTTGGACACAGCCAAGTTGGTGGCCAACAACATCAAGCGGAAGAATGTTGAGCCAGCGGTAGTTGCCTCGTCGTGCCAAGGAGGCCTGGTAATTAAACGAATCGAACAGCCGGTCCTCAAGCTTCAGTTATACTGGAAGGTAAACTTCGAAAAGTGCATAGACTCCCCAGTGGCCGAATACGAGGGACGCTTCATCTGCGTGGGCGCACATTCGAAAATTCTTCGAACTCTTAATCCCCAGACGGGCAGCGAATACAGTACAGTAAAACTTCCCGACCGCATAGAGTGTAGGGTGACGTTTCTCAGCGAGCAGCTCGCAATGGTGGGCTGCTACGACGGATGCCTCTACGGTTTCAATCCCCAAACTGGTGACATTGTGTTTCGCGTTGGAATTGGGGGCATGATTAAGTCGCAGCCCATGCTAACCGCCGATGGTCGCCGAATTATTGTGTGCAGCTATGCGGATGACTACAATGTCTACTGCTTGTCAGCCGAGCGGCAGGAGGTGCTGTGGTGCCAAAGGATTGGTGAAAAGCCGATCTTCGCGAGCCCTCTGGAGCTGCCAAGGGAACAGTCGCTGATAATCTGCACCTTGGACGGCAGCTACTCGCGCGTGGCCATCACCGATGGCTCAGTGGAGTGGACGCAGAAATATAGGGAACCCGTATTCTCCACACCTGTTCTTTTGGAGTCCATGTCCAACATATTTTTAAGTGCGGAAGTGGCTGGGCGAGTCCATGCCTGTCATGTGGGCAATGGTAAAATTGTGAGTAGTGTTCTTCTGTACCCAATTTCAAACCCAATTTCATAACAACTGCAATCTTTAGCTGGCTACCTTTACCACAGAAGGAAACATTTTCTCTTCGCTGGTGGTCAAGACCCCACCGACTTTTATGGGGCATTCCTTTGCCGTTTTTGGTTGTATAGACCAACATGTGTATTGCCTGCGATGCAAAGCCGGATCGGGTGGCAAATCTGTTGACTTTGAGCTCCACTGGAAGGTCAATGTGGGTGCACCCGTTTATGCCACGCCAACTCTGCTCACAGTGCAACCGAACGGACTTCTGGTTTGGTGCGCCGCCACCGATGGACGCGTCATGCTGATGAACTTTAGAAATGGCGAGATTCAATGGTCGGATAAGCTACCCGGTCAAGTCTTTTCCAGTGCATGCTTTATTGAGGACCTGCGTCGTGTTTTCGTGGGATGCCGAGACAATTTCCTTTACTGTCTGGGCATCTAGATAGTAACTGAAACTGACACATTTCCATTTACAATCGATTTATAGCTTAACAGTAAGATAAGAAAATCGTGCCTATATATGTACCTATATACCAAATGACTTTAGCCATGTAAAAATATTCAATTTGCGACTTTCCCATTCAAGTTTCACTTACAAAAATTTTTTGAATTGCCAACTCTTGTAAATGGGTTTTTAGAAAAACATAAAAACCTTTGAAATTTTGTCAGTGGCTAATTGTGGAAAAAAATTAAGTTGAGACACACCGAATAAGATCAAATTCTCGTTATATAAATGTGATTTATGATTATATGATCGATCGATTGGTGATGTCGAAGTGTCCACGACTTTTACTACCGGACTTCCTTGCCGTATGGCTGCTTCTGCTGCTGGCCGAGCACACAACCAGTGCCCAGGTAATTCCGATCCCGCATCCGATCCTCTTCCTTGCGAGCGGCACGCTCCGCAGCCGTATGCGTCATGTACTGCTGGTGCCAGTCACGATTGTGGGTCTGGAGCAAAACAAAGGGGTTGGGTTGGGATTGGTTGGGAGCCAAAGGCAGTTAAGGGCAATCAAGCTCACCCTGGCGCAACGCTTCTCCACGAGCTCTTCGTAAATCTGACGATCTTCGAGAATGTTGTAGACCACATCCTCGCGGATATTAGCCTGTGATTGCTTGGAGCTGATGGCGAGATTCTGTTTGATCTGATCCTGCAAGTCAGTTAGTTGCTGGCGCCGTTTATCTTTCAGCTTCTTGAGATCTTGTTGTTTCTTGAGGACTTCCATTTCGGCAGCTAGTTCCAGGCTACGAAAGAGAGTTGGGTACTGCTTGAGATAAATAACTAAATCTCTAAGCAACCAGGTACTTACGCCTGGGAACATTTCCGCTGGTCTGCCAACACATCCTTGGCGAACTGGGCCTTCTGCTCCCGATCAGTGTCCAGGTTGTGGGCTTGGCACCTATTTTCAATCAAGTTCCGCAGTTTCAGCTCATGCTGCTCCTGCTGGGCCTTACTTTCGTCCAATCTCTGCCAGACCCGCTGCCACAGAATCTCAACGCAGGCCTGACGGCGTTTCAGCGCCTTTTTCTCCTCGATTTGATGGAGTTGAGCTTGTTTCGACTCCAACAGGATCTCCTTAGTTAGCATGTGACGATGCGCCTCGGAGTTTTCACTGAAAGTAGGACCGGGAAGTAGAGTAAATCGGGAAGGCTTTGAAGTCCTACAGAAGACCACCTACATCTCCCTCTGCTGCTTCTTTACTTTGACCAATTCCATGTCGGCCTCCTCTCGCTTCAGCCGCTCCATTTCGATCCACTCGTGTCGCTTTCGATCCGCTTCATCCGCTTGCTCCTGGAGCATTTCTGCAATCTGCTCATCCGCCTCCAAAGCCTCCTTTTGGAGGAGAAGACTGAGGTTCCAACGGCGGTTGTCCACATCCTCGTGCCATTCGCGCATCTTTCGCGCCACCTGAAAGCTTATTTGAGATTTCAGATTGCGCTTATCGGTCCGTGTCAGAAATTCCAGAACATCCATTTTTTAAGCTCCTTTATTGCAGTAGTACAATAAAGTAGTTATAAAGTGAACTTTTCATTGTTTTCTGGTATCTAAGCACTGCTAAAATAATTCAATAATTCCCATGACAACTATTTTATATAAGTAATATTGGATTGAAGTGGTGCAACTTCGATTTAATTTATTTGTTCATATATAAACGTAACTAACAAGGTTTGTTTATTTTGAAATTTTAAAAAAAGTTCAGCTTTGCAATAATGGTATTTTGCGACCTTAAAGTCCAAAGCAAAATACTAGTTAATTAGGAAAATGCACTTTGTGGTACAACTAGCAGCGCACCATCTGGCAACACTGCGAGCAGATGTTTCCGGATGGCCTTTGAACAGGCGTAAATTGGACCCGAATCGGCATCAAACCCTTGGAGAGCAAGCAATGAAACCGTGGACAGCCAGGAGAAGGGGGCACTGAAGGTCGAGGCAACGCAGGAACCGAGGCATATCGCCCAGCATATTGCCAGAAATCGGAGGTAGCGAACCGGAAACACCCTGTGCCGGAGTTTGTGACGCAGTTACACAACAAAATTCTTAGTAGGCGCCCAAAGTAGGGGCAACAACAAGCTGATTGCCGAATCAACGTGTGCCAGCTAATTGGTGCCACTCACACTGCACTCTGGAGCTCTAGAGCCGTAAGACCCCGCTCTTCGACCTCCTCGGAAAGGTACGTCCATCGATTTGGCGATCTATTTTTAGCCGGCAACATGCGATTGCAATTGATGATTATCGGTTTACTTTTCAGTTCAGGGACACGGCGGCTTTCACTTTCGCATTCATCGCCGAGTTCATTGGTCCACCTTCAACATGGTCGTGGCCGCATCCACCTGCCGCACGGAGACGGTCTTCGATTACAGCTGGATGAACGTTGTGATCGCCTACTGGAACCGCTACCCAAATCCTTCTAGCGCCCACGTCCTCACCGAGGATACCATTCAGCGGGAGGTGCGCGATGGCAAGCTCTTCTCGCGCCGGCTCCTCTCCAAGACGAATCCCGTGCCCAAGTGGGGTGCTCGTTTCTACAACAATGTGCCGGTCAAGATTGTTGAGGACTCCGTGCTGGACCCGGTCAAAAAGACATTCACCACATTCACCAGGAACCTGGGCATGACGAAGATTATGGCAAGTGATCGCTTACCTACTAGGATTGATTGAATAGTTTACATTTTCATTTGTTGATTAGCTAATAGATCAGTAGTCAATGCTGTGGCCTTGTTTGTTAAATTTAACCTAAGAAACGCATATTGAACATAGGGATCCGGTCAAGATTATTGTACGATTCGTTTCATTGCACTCTTTTTAGTGAATATGTGAACCATGATTTTTTTGTTTATGTTTAACTCATAAGTTTAGTGTAATCTTTATTAATAATCCATGTTTTTATTTCAGAAAGTCGATGAAATCGTCATCTACACCGAGCAGAAGGACGGCAGTACTTTGGCAGTGCGAAGAGCGTACATCAGTTCGCAGGTGTTCGGATTCTCGCGGGCCATTCGAGCCTTCGGCATCGAGCGGTTTAAAGCCAACGGCAACAAGGCCTCCAATGGGTTCAACTACGTGCTGCGGCGCATGTTTCCGGACAGCTTGGTGGGTGGAGGACATCACCAGCACGCGGTGACGACGACTTCCTCAGCGGGAGAACTTGCAGTAGCGACCACCACCGTATCCACCACAAATGGCAATCACAACAACCCAGGAACGCTAAAGAGTGCCGCGAAAGTGGGCTACGAGTTCTTCAAGAGTCACGCCTCCAAGATTGCGCAACTGTTTTCTGTCAAGAACTGAAGGACGTCTAACCTGAAGTTTTTGGAATAGATGTCGAATGGGGCCGAGGATTCTAACGCTTTCGGCTCCGGAGTTAAGGATTTGGCGGATTTGGCCAGGACGGAATAAGAATGAGGAGCGGTGGAGTCGTGTCGGCGGCTGTTTTTAAACATATATTCCAAAGCAAATCCAACCACATACTTTGCTGCATTTCATTCCGTGTGTGCGCGAATCAACCGGCTGATCTGAACGGAGACACTATTTGCTGAACACATTTCCTGCATCCTACAAAATTCTATTATTTAACGTTAGTAATTTGCATTACATTATTATGTACCATTCTGTTAGGTCAAAAGGGAAACGAAAAGCCGTGTGTCAAAATTGGTATTGCTATGTAATCTGTTGTATACTTTTTCAAAAAATAAGAAACCAACACTTGTAGTTCTTAAAAGTAATTATTTAAATAAATTTAGTTTGTTAGAAGTGGACGGTGTTTTATTTTTAACTAAACTGGGCTTTATGTGATTCACAATTAAAAAAAACACTTTTATTTAAAATATATTAAAAATTATTAATATTTGCTCGAAAATTTCCGTATATTTTAAAATTCGTTTTATAATATTTCGCCGTAAACATTCGGTAAAACCAGGGATGCCACCTTTTCAACAGAAGTCAGCTGGACCGGTGCTGCCGGACCCGTAACGCAATTCGCACCCCTTCCAACACTGCAGCTCTGGAGTCGCATTCTCAATCCGAATTCCCAACCGTACGCGTCGAAGTCGCGCAAAAAAACAACTGCGAGTATAATTAATCGCACGAAGAACTGCAGCTGAAATCGCGAGACAACAGTGCACAAAAGAGCAAAAGAACACAGCGAAGCAAATACCGTACAAATTAGCTGCGTTTATGGCGCACCAGGAGAAGAGGAAGAATCTGCGCCCCGCCGCCCCCGCCTTTCAACACAAAAACAACAACAACGACGAGGAGGAGCAGAGCTAACACAAAGAAGAAATATAGAATAACTTATGCGTATATTTTTGGTACCGCTTTTGTACGTTAAAAACTAATCAGAACGCTCCATTGATTTATTGAGCGCACCACTGCCAGAGTTTTCGAGTTTTTCAAGACGTTGCCAGCTGTTTTCGCCGCTCTTCGTCCCACACCCCCGCACCTTTCTTCAAAGAAAGCGAGAGCGCGGTCAACGTCCTGCGAAGGACGTGATAAAAGCGAAGGTGAGCGAAAGGACACCGGCAGCCGCTTCATCTTCCTCTTCCCCCTTCTCACCGCGAAATAACTTAAAGCGAGGGTAGAGTGGCAAACAAAGTTGTTGAAGATAAAGACCCAGCAGAACCAACCGGCAAACGTAATCAGCACCGTAATCCCCCGCGAACCAGAAAAATATAGCCAACATGCGCCTGTTTCCAGTCCGATTCTCAGCCGCCTCCTCGTCGATGGCGAGTTTGGCCAAAATGCTCGACTTCTACTCGGGCTTCAACCCCTCGCCCCTCTCGATAAAGCAGTTCATGGACTTTGGTGAGTAACTGGGCCTCAGTTTCTTGAACCCTACGTGTAATATACATCTACAATCTTAATCGATCTTATCGAAGTGCTGTTGTGTAATCGTGGAAGTCGAATAAGCCTGGGATTTTTGATATTATGGAGATTGCCTATATATATAGCTTGCTACTATGGAAATTTTGACTCACTTTGTTTTGATATGCCTCCAAAAGATATCAAAACACTTGGGTTGTTCGCTTTGCAAAATTATAAACATTTTATCTACCGTAGATGGATTTTGAATATATTTGTTTTAAATGAATATTACCTCCCTTTGGTTTTTATTGTTCATTATAATACGCCATGTTGCATAACCTATGTAGAGAGTAATATCTTTATGATGTCTAAAGTTTCGTTTATAGTTTAGAATAAACCGATCGCAGCAAACTGCTAAACTGCGCAAATATGCCGTTATCTAATAGCCAATTTTGTTCCATTGAATTGTCAATTATGCATTTGCATTTATATTATTTTGTGGACTGTGCGCGAGACTGAGAGGCAGACACAGACACAGACAGAGACGGGCTCTATAAACAATTGAATGCTCAGTTCAATTCAGCTTGGCTTTGGCTTTTCCTCGACCCCCCAGCAACAGCCCCACCCCTTCTATTCAATTTCAATTCAACCGCCTGTTGCAAAAACGGAAGTGAAAATAGCTCAGCTTGTTTATGAGAAGGCCGTGTTCGAATACATAAACAAGTTTCCTCAATGAAGCTGAAACACGAGGATGGGCGCGAAAAAGGCGCTTTTTTCCGCCCACACTTCATTAAGCGCCAACAGCCGGCACGTGGCCTTCAATGACGTTTCAATGTCAACCCACCGCTCCCATCACCCAGCAATATCCTAAATTCCAGGGCTTCAACCTGCCCCAATAAATGAACACGCAACCGTCGAATCGAGTGTCTCTCGAGTGTTCCAGAGCAGTCAAACCTAGTTTGCAGTGTATATTCTAAAATTTGTATATCTAGATAAGAGCAAATGGCCGCAGATACAACACAGATGCCTTTAGATACTGTTCCTCATAACCTTTCATTTGCTGCACATGCCCCACTCGAAAATCAATGTTGTCCTGTTTAACCAGCAGACTTGAGTGCCAACTTCTAGGGCATTCTCGTTGAAAAACTGGCAAGCGACGTGAGCAGAAATAAAAGCCAGGCCAAGTAGCTCGGCTGGAAGGTGGTAGGTGGCAGGAGAAAGATGTGGAAAAGGTTGGCCTCCGGAGGCTGAGCTATTATCATCTAAATTTAGACAAAGCCAACAGGCTTTGGTTGCCTGTTCTCTATCCCTTTAAGGCAACTTGTGCTGAGCTTTTTGCTTTTTTATGCCGACTGGTATTCATTTATGAGCTACAAAACAGCGGAATTGGTTTACAAGCCTTTATAGCCGTATATTCAATATGTCAGCACCCCTCGGGGAACTGACCAAATAAATAGGTAATATATACCTGCCTAAACTTGAACTTTGATGTCGGTCTGTAGATAAGGTTGCCTTGTGTGTTGCCGCGTGTGTTTTGTCCCCAACTGTACCCGTCACTTAATTGTGTTTTTTCCGTCGTTTGTGGGGGTCCATAAACTTGGAGTAATTATGCTTATATCTATAGATAGATGGCTTGTTATTGGTTTGCTGCGTTGTTATTAAATCGCCACGCACCCGATTTTATGATGATTCAGGTTAACCATCGATTAGCGCTTTGTGGGCTCAGTAAGCGGGCGTCATAACTGGAAATGGGATTCTAAATTTCACGTCTGAGTGACAAGACTAGTCTAGAATATTATTCGAGGGCGTGTGCTGTGCCCATATTCACAATATGTATATGCGCCACGCCAAATCACATGAAGGCCAAGATTTCATATCAATAGAAAATATAAAATACGTATGGTATATAGGGAGTACAATTTGGAAATGATGAGGTTGATCATGTGCCAATTCTCCGTGCGACAAGGAGAAATAATTATCTCAAGCGCAAAAGGGGGAAAACGGAAAACACAGCGTCTGACAATTCCAAAGTTTATTGTATAATGGATGCATTGCGATGGATCAGATCACTGTGACCATTTCGGGCAAAGTCCAGGATGCTGTCACCTCAGTTCGTCCACGATTCGGACCTGAACTTTGGAACCTCTTTGGGAAAGAAAGGCGAAACGCGCACGTCAACAGTTAGCCAAAATAAAAACAGAACGAATGGCCAGAAGGAGAGTGAGCACCACCCCGGCGATAATAAAGACGTAGTCGTCTTCACACGCGCCGTATTTTTGTCACAGGGCGAATGTGAGTCAAATATACATATTGTCGCACAAGACTTTCACACAAATTCTCCCCCGAATTGGGGGGCCAATAGGTGTGGGCTGATGCAACTCAAGAGTCTGCTAGCCGTGCTCCCAAACAGCTGTTTTACAAAAAAGGGGTTGGTCATGGTTTGGAGGAGGGGCCAGCTGTGACGTCAGCCGGTCTATAGATAGATGCATATGCGATTCTCCCCATTCTAATGTAATTGCATTGGGGCACTGAGTGAACGATTGAGTCGTTTTCAGAAATTCAATTTCTTTGCGCCCTCAGCTGATTGCGTGCCATGCGTTATAAATTATTTAATGCGCCATTAGCGAACAAATTAGCCTACATCGCCAATTTAACGGCTCGCACTGATAATGAGGATGGGATTGAAACCGCAGCTCATTCTCGATACTAGGCTCCAGTAATGAATTCGTGCGGTGCCCAGTTTTCAATTTCACTGCCAGAACACGCAACAGTTTTTCACCAACTGGCAGCTAGGTTCTGGTTACATAACATCCATTAAATACTTTTGCCCATAGTTTCTATGAAACCTGTTGGGGCACGCAAGAATTTGTGATAAGCCTAGGCGTAAAAGGGTTAAAAGGTTAGAAAATAAAATCTAGGTTTTTGAATTTAAAACATTAAATATTCAAATGGTGCCAAATCAACAGGGAAGTGGATTAAACTGGACACCCCAAGTGTAACCCATTTAATAAGGAAGGTGTTTATACACTTCCAACCTTTAATCCTCTTAACTCGACTTTCTTTTTTATAGCGGGCAATTATCTGAATGCATGAACCACTTATGATTAGGACACTTAACGCCACTGCGAATTTATCACCGATGAAAGTGAGGGTGTCACTTATCAGGCAAAAGCAATACATCAAAATGCCAGACGCTCTACAAACCTGGCGATCCGATCCAGTCTGGAGGTTTCTCTGCTGTGTTTTCCTCCAGCTACAATCAAAACAAGTGCATACACTGAGAGAGAGATAGGGCGTAGAGTGAGTCTAAATGGCAAACAAGTAAACAAAAACACAGCGTTAAAAGCTTGTTTTGAGGTCATCTGCGGCAGCTTTTCGAGTGCGGAGCGGGCAGTAGCGCGTGTATTGGAGCGCCCCTATCTAGCACTATGATATCTGTACCTCGCAACTGAGATCTCCAGCTTTTTCGATCGCTTTCTGGCAGGTTCTTGAAAACAATATCATCAGGCTATCGCCGCTCTTTCCGTATTCTCGGGCTCGTCTTTATAACTCGTTTTATTGATTCTGTTTTGTTTGGCCAATTCGTTACAATTGACTCATAAAGCGGTTCCAGTCCAATTTATTCGGCATAGCCACGTATATACATATTATGTACATATCTAGTTGTTTTTGCGTTGTGTCTGAAATCTTAATTAAGCCTGGCGAATTTCGCGACTATTGTGGTCATTGTATTTTTGCAAAGAGCAATTTCTGGAAAAGAAGGCGTGTCTATGCCGGCTGGTCAAGGCCCCGTCGATAAGGTGGATCCATCGTTATCACCTCGTCGGCTGTTTCTTGATGTTCTCTTTGTTACGAAACTGTTGACTCGCCACAAACAAACAGAAAAAACCCAAACACATACACACTAAGACAATCGGAAGCAAATACAAAATAACCAACAAAATAACAATACAAAGGCACATTCACAAGCTTGGCGAGGGCAAAGTTTTCTGCGGTTGATTTATTTCACATTTGCCAGAGAGCTCTGAACTAAGCTTGCTTATAAGAAAGTGCAGACTGTGTACATACTGAGTGTAGATATGTATTTAGCTCAAGTACTTTTGAGCTCTCTGATAATTAATCCAATTGAATTTATGTGCAGCTCAGAACTGTTTTCTTTTGTGTACGTCAAGGCTGTTCATTCTAGCTGGTTGATTCCTCCCCATGAGGTTTTCACTCGTGAGCTCATGATCACTGAATGCCTAAAGCCGCAATGATAAGCCTGATTAGCCAATGATTTTCCATAATCTATAGCAGCAGGAAAATATATTTAATAATCTAGAACAACAATTATACATGCAGCGATAACTTTGACAGAATAAAGAGCTCAAAAGTATCTATCAGGCTGTATTTGAAAGAATTGATTTGAATTTCCGTTGCTTTTGTTGTTTGGAGTAGCATAACCAAAGTCACTACTATCATATTTAAAATTGATTGTTCTAAGGTTTAATAAAAGCTAATTTCATTGAACAGGTCAGAATGCTTGCGAGAAGAAATCGTACATATTCCTGCGCAAGGAGCTCCCGGTTCGACTGGCGAATATCATGAAGGAGATCGCCCTTCTGCCGGACAACCTGTTGCACACCAGATCCGTAAGCGAAGTTAGTTCCTGGTACGTCAAAAGTTTCGAGGATGTGCTGGTGTACGAGAAAGCAGAGCCCACCCACGACAATCTGCAAAAGTGAGTAATATCACATTTCGAATAGATCAGCATTTTACTAATCATATTTGCCTTTCAGGTTTGTGGCCGATTTGGATCTCATTAGGAATCGGCACAACGATGTGGTGCAAACGATGGCCCAGGGTGTGATCGAAATGAAGGAGAACGAGGGCGGCCAGGTGGATGCGCCCACAGAGAGTTCCATTCAGTACTTTCTCGACAGGCTCTACATGTCTCGCATCAGCATTCGAATGCTGATTAATCAGCACAGTAAGACAGCTCCAGATATTGCTAGTAGTCACTCACATAACTGACTATGTTCTATCCCTTATTTAAGCCCTTCTCTTTGGCGGAAATCCCCATGCGGGTGGCCGCCACATTGGTTGCTTGGATCCCGCCTGTGATCTGTCGGATGTGGTTCGCGATGCCTACGAGAATGCCCGATTCCTGTGCGATCAATACTACCTGACCAGTCCGGCGCTGGAGATCCAGCAGCACAGCAGCGAGCCTGGCGACCACCTGCCCATCCGGACGGTGTACGTGCCCTCGCACCTGTACTACATGCTTTTCGAGCTCTTCAAGAACTCTATGCGAGCTGTTGTTGAGCACCATGGCCATGACAACAATGACACATTGCCCCCCTTGAAGGTAGCCATTTGTAAGGGCAAGGAGGACATCTGCGTGAAAATTTCTGACCAGGGCGGCGGCATTCCCCGTTCCCAGTCCGATCAGCTCTTCAAGTATATGTACAGCACAGCGCCGCAGCCCTCGAAATCGGATCTGCACACGGTGCCCTTAGCGGGCTACGGATACGGTCTACCGATCTCCAGACTTTACGCCCGCTATTTCCACGGCGACATTGTGCTGCTCTCATGCGAGGGTTTCGGCACCGATGCAATCATCTATCTAAAGGTGCGTTTTCCATTCATGCACGTTTCCCAATGCAAGCTAACGCAAACCAACTCCCTTGCAGGCTCTGTCCGACGAAGCAAACGAATTGCTGCCGATCTTCAACAAGACAAGCTCAAAGTTCTATCGCGCGACCGTGCCAACCGGTGACTGGTCCAATCAGGTAAAATACGCTAAAAAGAAGAAGACGAGCGCTGTCAGCCAGTAGACGTGTGAAAATGTGCAAAAGCAAAAGAAAAAACAAAAAAAGAAAAATGAAAAGAAATAATGAGATGAGTTGAGAAATGAAGCGAAACCCCCTGGCTGTGTAAAGAGTTTGCGCCACCCTGCACCAATTGAATTCAATCCAATCAAACCCAATCCCAGCAAGCAAGCAACCCTCATCCCGCATCCGCAACCCAGTCAAGTGAAAAGTGTTTATTTATTGTTTAATGTAATGTTAATGTTAAATACTACCTATGTTTGTATGTGCCCCAAACTCCTCAACACGATTGATTTTCGAAAATTTGTTGAAATATTGTCATTTAACATTTGACATTCCACAAACATTTTCGCCCATTTTGGAGCGGGCTGAAGCTATGTTTAGTTTTTGTGGGGACCGAGTGGCGCAGCGTCCTTGGCCTTAATATTACGTTTGTAGCCAATAAATTCTATATAAATATATTTATATAAACTTATATACACGACAAACATTTATACTCTGAAGTAAACAGATGTTTTGAAACATTTACGAAAGTAACTTTAATTTGTGGATTTTAGTTAGGCTAAAGCCCGAACTGCATGCAATGTTCAAATACATTTATCTTTTTGAGCGCACTATTTAATTTTACTTGTTAAGCCATACACGTTTTAAACAAATAAACTGAAAAGTATACACCAAAACTGTACAATTTTTCTGTTTGTGTTTGATTTTCATTTGAAACAATTCAAATATTATAAGCACTTTATATGTGTTAAATTGCTTTTTTAAAGTCATAATTTGATCTTTTTTGACTACCCCAAAAATTCGGAATTTCATTTGCATTTCCTCTCTTCCTTTAACTTGTTTAATTAACAGCTTAATTGCAACTTAACGCCTATGGTAATTTCTATTGATTTTAAATACCTCTTTCTTTACTTATATACTCTCCACTGATGATTTCTTTCAGAACTTTTCCAATCGTTGGCGTTATTTATATGGTTTTTTAAAGAATTCATAAGACTGCATTTGACCCAGACGCGTTTGCAGTTCATTGGCTTTCATTTTTCCCCACACAGGGTCACCATTAAGCTTTCAATACTCTCTGATCTTCTAGAGCTCCGATATGAACGCACGCCAGTTGTCGGCTACCACACCCAAACGATGCGACTTTCTTCAGGACGCTTGAAGGGGGTGCTCCATCAACTGCAACTCAGGTTAAGCACACAGGACTATTCAGGAAAAAACTGTTGGATATTGAAATCACGAAATATATCACTAGCCCTAGGCAAACATTCCCAAACTGCAGCAGCAACAGAAGCAACTCAAATTTGTATTCATGGCAGTTACGTGTAGTTATCGAGTTGTTATTTAAAATAAAACGGATGCATAACAAATATGGCAGTTTGTTAAAGATCAAACACTGGAGTTTTCTTTTAGGCACTACATTTTATTCTTTACATACACAATAATAATAGTAATAATAATATTTCTCTATATTGCATCAATAACATTAAATATTGTTCATTTCGCTTTAATTCTCCTCATATTTCGGCTCTATACAGTAATCGATTCATTTGCTTCTGGTTATGTCTTTATAATTATTTTATACAAAATTCTCACATTCAGTTAGCATTGTTTAGCATTTTTCACATTTATCACTCGTTAACATTTTTTCTTTCGCTTTACTTGACCATCAATTAATCTATTCAACTACAGCAACAAATTGATACATTTAAACAAAGTGCTTTGCGGTTGTTGGTGGTGCTCTTTTGATCTTGACCTCAGAATATTATAATATTTATAATTATAATAATAGTAGAATTCATAATATGCAATATAAAATCGACAAAAATCAATGATAATAAATACAATACAATATATAAACAATAATACACATTAAATAAATCGAATTGCAATTGGATTGGAATGCATGTGAATCGGAGCAACATAGAAGGATTAACGATGAGACAAACTTTTGGAATGTCATAAAGTTCCAATCATGTTGAAGTGTGAAAATGGCCTTGGTAGCACCGCTCTACTTGCGTAGGGGATCCAAACTCTCCAGGGAGAAGTCGTCAAGGTTTAGCTGATTTTGCTTTAAGTGTATTAACATATTAATGCTGACTTACAGCCGGTAATTGCAACAAAACTCACCTTGAAAATGGTCGGTCCATTGTTCAATTCGAAAGGATCCGAACCGAATAGATCTGTGTTGCCATTCAGACCGTTGCCCGTTGTCACCGAGTTTAGGCGCCTGGGAGCGGCAATCTTTGGCGGAGGGGCCACTGTGAAATGAAAACCGATCATAAGTAACTTTTTAGCTTAGATGTGCATTAATAAACATACACAATGGCGGCGTTATGTTCAGCTCGCTGGAAAAGCCACTGCTGTTAATGCTGTTGTTATTGCTCGTTATCAGTAAGCTGCTGTTGTTATTTTGGAGCTTATGGTCGTTGTTGTTGGAAAACAAATGCTGACCGAAGCTATTGGCCGGCTCGAAGCCGAACAGATTGCTTATCGCATTCCGACCAGTGCTTCCGCTGTCCTGATTCTCATCCGCGCGCGGATCGAAATCACTATCGGAATCGGAGTTCAGCAACAGCTCGTCCATCTTTTGGCTGTTGCTCTTGCCGCCGATGCTGATCTGACTGGACAAATTGTTCCGCGGCGGGACAATGGGCAAGAACGAGCTGGGCGACGCTGAGTGGGTCGATGCTGTGGTGGAATTGGTGTCGATTAGCAGCTTTTCATCATCTGAAATACAATTTGGAATACAGTTATTTGTGAACGACAAAAAGTTGAGTAAAATTTTACCTAGCTTGCCGTTGCTCAGGGCTTCGCTGGCCACCTCGATTCCATTCTGGGACTCTATGGTGAGTGGTGCTTCCAGGATATCCTTGATTCCCAGATTGAAGAGCAGGGCATCTAGCTCGGCCTTTGGCAATTTGGCGGAAACTTCTCGCAGTCGCTCCTTGTAAACGTTGACAGTTTGCTGCAGATGATTTATCTGTTGCTGCGCCTTGCTCAGATTCGTCTTTTCGGTGCTATCCATGTACTTTCTGTCAATAAAAGGCAGTCAATAAAATGGCTTGAGTAAAACTGCCAAGTAACCCACCTGTAGGCCAAATCAAAGGCCTGACCAATGGTCAGCGTGATATCCGAGGCCAATTTGTTTGAAATGAAGACAAAGCACTCGTGGCTCTCCTCGACTTTGGCACTACCATCGCCATTTCCGTTCGCATGGCCATTTGTCGCCGGATCACTGCCGTCCCGCGTCTTCACCGTCTTGGCAATGAAGCTGAAGAACTTCTTCACACCCTTCTCGTCCGCACAATACGAAATGTTGTACAGCGGAAACTGGTGGAGGATCTTGTGGGTGCGCGGCTCCTGAATTGCCACGCCCTTGATGCTAATGGTGATCTCAAGCTTCTTAAACTTCTCCTGGGTGCCCGTCTCCGCCTTCTTCATCTGCTGGGCAAACTGCAGCTTCCGAATGGCCTCCTTGACCACCTCAATCCCTTTGGGCTGATCCACGCTCAGGTTACCAAAGAACTGCAAACGGAAAGCATCGACATGCAATAAAAATATTATTTTCGTATTGAAACTACTTTTTAAACTATTTCGTTTTACGTCAGGCTTTTGAAAAGGAATTTGCCTATTAAAGGAAAAATATGTTTTCTCTGAAAAAAATGTGTTCGATTTTACGGTCGACTTAAAACTTGGAAATACAATTGCTTTCAACTAAAACGAAGTTATTTGACTTTGCTTGGTACTAGGTTTCATCATAAAAGGAATGTTAGGTATGTTAGTTACATATACTTTAAATTTATTTAGTTATTATTAACCGTAGTTATTGAGTATGTAATAAAAAAAAATGTATTTACTAATGTCTACACAGTGAGCTATCAAAATTTAAGGCACTAGGAAAACGATAAATATAAAATTAGGTACATGGGTATGTATGTGTTTATCAATAAACAAAAATGTGTAAAAGAGACTTTATATAAAGTTTATGGCCATTCAATCTAAACTGATGCTGTATTGATGCTGCATGTTTTAAGTACGTATTCGTTTTCTTTTTCACTTTGAGGTATAAATAACTCTTTCTTGGTGTCCGAGTTATGGAAGGTTTCTAAAGACACCACAATGAAGCGAAATCGACGGTGATGTTTCTCGCCATGTACCGCCTATCGGGGTCGTCACAGGTGGGTTGTCCCTTGCTCACCTTGACTAGATAGACCGCGTGTCCGCTGATGAGCTGCTCCGGCGTGTGCAGCCAGTTGCGCTTGCCGTTCTTGGCCTCGCTTTTGGCATCCCCGTTGCTGTTGCTGCCAGTGCCGCCGCCACTGATGTTGTTGCCCCCGTCGGCGGCGTCCTTGTCCTTGTCCTGCTGCTGCTGCTTGCTGCTGTTCTGCTTGTTCCAGAACTTCAGTTGGGCCATCTTGGCCGCCGCCTTGCTGCCACCAGACGTCCCGCCGCTGTTGGCTGGCTGATAAGGCATTGTTGTGGTCGGCGCCGTTTTTAAGCGTTTGAGGGAGCTGCAATGGGAATCAGAATTGGCAAATGAGCTGCGAATTGAACTTTGCCCGTCGCCGGCATTGTTGGGTTTTTCCTCTCGGATCCCTCGAGTATAAAATACACTGTGCATACAAATACCAGCTGCCGCTGTACTGCTAATTATCGTTATACAACCAACTAAATCTGAATGTATTCTTTTGGCTAATTGCAAATCGTGTTCAGAGAGAGGGACAGCAAAGAATCTACTGTGCTCGCTGGGAGAGGGGGAGATTGGGATTCATGAAAGCCAATCCCATCTGCGTCATCGCAGACTAAAACCTGATTTATTTGTTGCCTTCGTCAGCTGTCGAGATCGGTGCACTTGGACCTACATAGACACTTCTATAAAAATATACACACCGCAGCCTTACACATAGAAAAAATAACATTCAGCCAATTCAATTTAATACTCTTAAGCGTGTAGAAAATAAGCGTGATTCTAGGAAGTTTAAATCACTTATTTATCAACCTTGAAGTACAAATTTTGGCATCTTTCAAATCGACCAACAAAGCAAATCGATGCTGTTTAAGCGGGCACTGAAGTGTGTTATTTGATTAATTGCTTATTTATTAAGAGTTTAGACGGCTTTAGATGGATTTCTTGGGGGCGTGAGGAGCCTAGAGTAATGTTACATTTGAGTATAAAAACCAAATTAATAAATTTGATTGTTTCCTCATAAAAAATTATAAAACATTAATTGCCTTAAAGCTAATTAGTTAAGTCCCAAAAATTCATCAATAAGTGTTACGCAGCCAGTAACTGTGACTGGTTTGTCATTTTTCCAGACTACGGAACTCACGCATTTTGAGTGACGAAACGGACTGTATGGATATAAGTACATAGAAATGCACTCAAACAGTCGTCATTGTGCAAAGACAATACGGCAACAGTTTCTCAGAAGTAAAAACCACAAAAACGAAAACAAAAAAAAACATAAACCGAAATTAGAACAAAGTCGCTAAGCTAAGCTGAGCTCACACCGGATCAAAGTCACACCTTGTGGACAGAAATGATGTGACGAACGGATTTTTGTGAGTTAGTTCTTTCGTGCAATTCTCACATTTCGTGCCGTTTCATAATTAAGAAAAATCTTGCAAAAAATTAATGAAGCTCTGCTGGTTTTTTGGCTCTCTTTTCCTTTGTTTGGCGCTTGCATGTGTGTATTTTACGGGTTTGATTTATTTGGCTTTGGCCAAAAAGGAGGGAAGAGCGGTGGGGGATTGCGACCGGGGATTTCGTTAGGCAATCGCACAAAAGCGAAAGCTAAATTGGCCAAAAACGGCAAACGACGCCGATGACGACAGCCCTGGTTATAAAATACAAAATTCGAAAATAGCACAACGCTTGGCTTTCGTAGCTAAAAATCAAAAAACAAAGACCCGAAGCACCCTGTGCCCCCACAATTGTGCGCAATTACCCCAACAACTATGTATGTATGTACGTGTGTACATACATTTTCTAAAAGACAAACAAAAGATAATGTCTACAACTAAGCCGCAAATATGCATATGTTTATGTACTCGTACAAGTCGTTGTGCTACGCACATATCTACATACATTGTATATGTATATATAAATTTAAAAAAATACAGCCAATTCGCGGAAGTGATTCTCCGCATATTATAGCACTTAGGGATTCCGCCCCACAATACATCCCGCATCATTCGGAATGCAGACTGCGTGCCAGATCTGGCCGTATATCGTCTAAATTGATATTAGCCGACGAGAGCAACTTGACACTATTTCTCTGTGGCTGTCACTTTACAGAAATTGTGCAGATAATAGAGGGTTTTCTTATGTAGTATTTCGCAATCAGCTTTTTGGAGGGCGTTTTTATATGATTTCCTTCAGTACAAAGTACATCATATGTATATGCCTTCAGATTTAATTTCATTAGTTTGAAACTTGTATTCAAAACTGTATCCAAATAGATTGAGATGAAATTAATAACACAATTGTGAAATATGAAATGTAAGCATATGTATATCATGTTTCCAGACCATACTAAAAGTCAAATTTCTTTAATAAACTGATGTTTTATCTTTATGTTGTAGAACCACTTAAGGTTAAACAATCAACTTTTATGTTATAGAGGTAGCAAAGGTTTTTTATATGTATATTGCTAACTAGTTGTTTGCTGGTGAAACTAAAGGTACCCTCCAAAACTCCTTCTAAACAATAAATATGCATAAGCTTCAATCACCTCCAAACTTTACAAGACTTAGCTAGGAAGAAGCCAAGTTGCCAGCCCTAATTACTGAATTTCCAGCGACTGCGATTAGACAACGACAACGTTGTGTGTACTTACACATCAGATATGTATGCAAATGCGGTAAGAGAATGTGGATGAGGGAGGGGGTGATGGAGGCGGAGCGGGGGAGGAGCGAAATTTAAATTCAATTGGGCCTGCGCACTGACTGTGAAATTATTGTGAACCATTTTCGGTACTCCATTTCCACTCTCTTTGCTGACTTGTGTTTTTTCAGTTTTAGTTTTATGGCTTTATGTTGCCATGTGTTTACGGGCATTTTCTTTCCATGCTGGCCAGACACTTTCTTTGCCGTTTTGCAGTCTTTTTTCGGGCGGCATTCAACAGGTGTTTGGGCAACACAAGGCATTGCACAAGGCTAACAAAAACAAACAAACAAACTAAAGCGTCGGTGTTTTTTTTTCAACTTTCATAATTAGCAGAAGCTGAAGCTGGGACACGCGGACCTTGCGTGCTTATTTCCCATTGTGCGTGACTGTTTCTCTAAGTGTACACAGAAAAAAACAGGTGTATATACATTCGTTAAATCCGCACGAAAATTTAGAGCTGTGCATCAGCAACGCTTCTAGGAAATGTTTACAAATATTATCTGAATGTTAAAAAGAGATCCGAGATAATAAGGCTTCGTGATGAATAAAAACCATTCATTCAAATAAATCAATTAAAATCTCATTAGCATACAGCTGATCGTAAAATTCCTAACAAGTTCGGTCGAGGCTCTACATTTTTTCTTTCTGTGTCCTAGTTTGAAAGCCAATGCTATAAGCACAACATGGGATTTTATTAGGCACTCTGGCACACAAAACGCTATGTAGTTTCAGTGAATATTGTAATTGCTTTATGAGCACTTTTGCTTTTGCTCTTGGCTTTCTGCACGCATACCGTTACAAGTGGAAGGAGAAGTAGGAGTAGGAGGACCAGGCACAGTCACAGGCACAGGCACTACAATTCACCGCTATTTCTGGAGCGCCACGGCGCCAAACACAAACGAACGCGACGGGAGACAGCAGCGAATAGCACAACAAAAAAGCTGGGCTCCAACTTTTTCAAGTCGATTCGTTTTAATTCACTCGAGAGAGCCGGAGATAGAGAGCGCGAGCGCCGACATGAGAGATAAACAATCGTAGAGATTAAAGATGGAAAGCAATGGTGATTTGTAATTTTAATTTTTCAAGTGCCATTAAAATTAAACAAAGACTTTGTTTCTAGCTCTAGCCGTTTCGATCTCGCGTTATCCTCACACTCAACGCTCTCTGCCTTTGCTCTCTCTTTCTCTCTTGACCTGCCTTTGGCTAATGACTTTGCAGAAAATAACGTTTAAAGCGCGACTTTGGATGTATTTAATAGCTCACTTACTTTTGCCAAACTATTTACGCCTGTTTTCACTCGTTATGCTCGCCTTGTTCGTTGATTAAAATAATTTGTGCAGCTTGTAGTATTACTTCTTATTTTCCAACTGCACGCGAGACGAAAACAAAATCACAACAACAACAAGAATGGCGTGATGCTGGCGGGGAGAGTTTAAAAGACAACGGTTTAGTTTTATTTTTATGTTTTCGCGCGCTCTCTCTCTCTCTCTCTTTTTCTCAGCTTTCAAGCTGAACTGCGCAAATTTACACGGTAACACAGCAGCAACAACAACAACGACCAGCGACAACAACAACAGTGTGCTATATGGAATATCCTTTGCACCTTCACGGTCCGCTACTTCGATTTACCGATCACGAGCCCATCAACGAACTGACTGGCTTGGCAGCGATTGCCATTGCGACCAAAACACGGCTCTCCAAGCTGCGCAGTCGAAATTGGTATCGCCTGGCTCTCTCTCTCTCTCTGTCCGGCTTGGATGCACTTCCAGAGAGAGCAGAGGCTTCAGATGCAAAACTAGTTATGGGACAGAAAAGGTCGGCTAGGGGGAAGTTGGTGGGCGCCCTACACCAAATGATTCATCTGTTAATGGGAACATATTTTTGTAGAAGCAAAAGTTTAAGAGAAAGAGATAATAATAATAATTTTGGAAAATAACAATAATTTTTTTATTTATCGTTAACAAAAAATCGCTTGTAACAAAAAAATAAACATTCACTATGAACAAAGTGAACGCTATATTAAAAATTTATTTGGAAAGTGCGTATTTGTACGTTGAAGAAGGAATATAAATATTTAACTATTAATTTCAATGCTTGGGGCATTTTTAAAATAGGTGATTATAACCGTTTAATAAGGGTTTTACTTTTTAGTTAGAAAATTAGGACATTTGAACTTGAAGTCGTTGTGCCTCACTAAAAGACCTACCATTTTTGAGTAGGTGAGAACGTGATCGGCTGTAGTTTTCTCTTTTGCGGTTGGAGCCTCACTGCCACACAAACATATGTCCGCTTAGTAATGCCTGCATGTGTGTGTGTGGGTATTTCTGCTTATTTACCTGTTGCTTTTCAATTGTTTCAGATTTTGCCAGAAAAATGATTTTTCACAAATGCCAGAACATACGGTATTGTCTCGAGATTCCACCGAAGTGCTTTTGGCCAATTAAAATTACGGCAACAGGTGGGGCAAGTGCTCTTACACGCACACACACAGACATAACCTGGCGTTTACCTGTATGTGTGCTTGTAATCTCGACCTGACGTAAAAACAAAGACACAGCATTGCCGTTGTTTTTGTTATAAGCCGCAGAAGACGAAGAAGCAGAAGCTGCTTCGAGAAAAATATATTTATTTTCGTAATACGTAATTCGTAATTTCTGGGGCTGTTTGGCCGCTTCAAATACAAATTGCAATAAAACTGGTTCCCCAAGTCAACCATATATCATGTATCAGGATTTTGATTATTGTTGTCGTTATACGTTGTCCAATTGTTGCTTTCGTCGCTGCCGTGGCGTTGTTATTGTTTTGTTGCATGCCTTGCATTTTTCTAGTACACATTTTCCTTTTCCATTTTGCCACATTTTAGCTGCAGTCCCTTCCCCTTTGACTGCCCCTCTCCCTTCACCAACCAAAATGAAACCGGCTTGACATAAAGGAGTGTGCGTGAGGAGGCTATGTGTGTGTGTGGGCCATAGCAATTGTAGTTTCAGTTTGGATGCAGGCACTGTGGAATGCAAAAGCCGTTTAGCAAAATAAATTGGCGTGAAAGCCTAAAAACCACAAATATGTAGGTAATGGTATTTAAGATTTAATAGCTGTTCGGTTTCTAGGTAACCGATATTGCAAGCTGTAAATGTCGTTGAAACACTCAACAGCTTTTTAAAGATCAAATGAGTTTTAGTAGGAAATACTTCACTAATATCCTAAATTCTTTGTAGGTATTTGTAGCATGTGCTCCTTGTGGAACTTTAACTCTGCTGTCCCTATTAGCCTTTCGGCCCACTGTACTCTCCTTGTCGTTTTGCTGCATATGCATGTATGCACATGTATGTATGTACGTACAAATTTCCCACACCCGCTCTCTGTCACCGCGATCTCTCTTTATCTTTATCTCTTCGCCGGACTTTTAAGCTCCTGTTTCGGCTTTCCTCTCCACTCAATATTGGACATTTACAGTTAGAGGCCGCTCGCTGCCCGCTGTAATTTGATTACCAGTTTCCCTTCCGCCGGCCAAAAGGAAAACTACGAATGGCTTTTCATTGAGAGATTTTCCCGTGCAGCAACAGGGTGACCTATGCCAGGATCGCCAGCGGATAAATGCAATGCAATTTGGTGGGCTTTCCAAACTGAAAAATTGCTGGTTCTTAAATCTTTGAATCGTTTATTTTAGCGTGTACAGTATTGGCCACCAAGAACGTAAAAGGGCTGAGCGCAACTGGCAGCCATCAACTTGGTTCAATGTGCACTTATTGAGGGGGCGTCCGATCGGCCCCTTATTTGCAAGTAATAATGGCATTTAAAAACTCGCAATTGCATTTTGATCGGGGTTCGGGCTTCGGGGTCTCTATCAAATTGTTATCGTCGCCAAGGGGCGTTGACTGCGGATGTTCGCTGGGGGAGGGGAGCGCTGAGGGGGCGTGTCTTCGAGTTTTGTCGCACATGACGTTATCTTGGCGTCGTTTTCATCAGCGCAGCAAGAGAGTTCAAAGGCCCAATGAGCCAAATAAAATGCATGAAACCAGAAAATACGTTTCTCACTCATTGTTTTATAAGGCGAAATGTCATTAAATGGTATTGTAAATATTTGTGCGCTGCGATCAAATGGCAGCCGAAGCCTGTTATTCTTGTTGCTTTGCAGCTCGTAGGAACGTGCTGGTATTTTTCAAGCGCAATCGCCCGCTTTTTTCCCTCTGGGTTTTGCTTTTGGTTTTGGTTTTCAGTTTTCAGTTTTTCAGCTTTTTCAGAGCCTGGGTGCGGAGCCGGTGTCATCAGCATAATTTACGTGCCGATGCCCGCCCAGCCGAGTGTCACGTTTCCACCTCGCGCTCCTTATCACATGTCGTTGGGCAGGGGAATTCAAATGCAGGCAATCAAACGCGGGGAGTACTGTCAAAGTGCCACAAAATGCATATAAATATGAAACACAAAGCATTTGCAGCTTTCCATTAGTTCCAATGATTAATTTTATACCTGTAGATAGACTTAGCATTATATTGTTTTAAATAAATATATGTATCTGAATCGCTGTTTTGAAAAGTGTAACTTAATCACGCCATTGTCTAAGTTGACTTTGAAATTTGGCCAGAAGATCATATTAAAATATCCTAACTGAATATGGATTTTGAAGCAGGTTTCATAGGAGCAGCTTTAAAAAGTGTACGTTAGCATAATTATGTTTTATATACGTAAATATAGAGACAAATATAATTATCTCTGGGAGCCCGGGTTCTTGGGGTGCGGGCTCATTGAGGGGGTTTTCCCTGTGCTTGCAAATGAGCAGCGCTTATCTCGTTTACCTCTTGATCATCGCTTATCAGCGGGGCCCTGAACGCCCCCATAAAGGCACGACACACATACGCAAGCCTCACGCACACGGACCTGCACACATTTCGAGTAATTCAATTATTTTGTGTATTATTTTCAATGTGCAACAAAAGCGACAATAAAATAACAAGCCCGCGGCAATACAGCCCGACTTATCACCGCGTCGCCGCTGTTGTTGCAATGCTTGTTGCTGATGTTGTCGTCGATTTCAAACTGGCACTGACTGGCACTGGCACACAGCGATGGCAATTATTCTGTGTTCGCTTCAGTCGCCGCCCGTTGATTTTGATAGAGCCAGAGCCCCGGAGACTTCCGCTGGTCGTGGTGGCGGAGGGGGCCGAGGGGGAGGCGGAAAACCGCGGGGTCGGCTGCTGGAAAAATCCAAGGAAAGTTCGGCGAAAGTCGCTGCCTATCAAAGATAGGCACTCAAGGGCTGTGCGTATATATATTTTGATAGCAGAACAACTTACAATACACATATCTTATATACAAAATGAACCACTTTAATCGGGTATTGACATTTACTTCCCATTTGCATGCTTTTGTTGAGAGATTTTGACATAAAACTGCAACTACACTTTATGAAGCTAAAAACAAGGGGGTAAATAGGATTGAACTGAGCTGAACTAGTCTGTTACGAGTCGATCAAAGTACTGATACAGGAAAGGACTCTTTAGTTGCTTCAGTGTAAGGACTCATAGGCATACTTGAGGATACGTAACTTTCTTGCAGCGCATTAGTTCGGTTTTCGAGAGAAACATGGAACCCAATCGAATAATATAAGCAATATGAATGGCTTTCGGTACATTCAACCGAAAGAAAATAATTATAAAACGCATCCAAATAAAGAATGACAGAATTTTACATTTTTAAATTGGCGCCATATATTCGATAATTCAACTGTGCAGCTGCCATCTTGACTTCTACAGCAATCAGTGTACGACCGATACACCGATAAATTTCACTCTTGGGGTGCTGCCAGATGGCCAGATATATTTTAAGCTAACTTTATGGATCAATAGATTTAAGCTCGTTAAAGTTACATTGTTTTTGATTTGTAAAGTATTTTTGTTTACTTTTATATAAAGTTATACATTAAAAAGAATACAAACTCATTGTCGTTCAGTTTCGAGGGAGCTCGCCCTTTCCAGCTTCTGGCAACTCTGCCGTCATATGTTTAACAGTTTGACATGCACACAGTTTTGGAGTAACTCAAAATATTTTCGCTATCGTTTTTTTTTAATAATTTCGTGTGTGAAACGGTGATATTATTGATTTTTGTTGCATTTTATGCATCGTCCAGCTGGAGCACATCGAAATCCGCCAAAGGACTCCACGGCTGGCGCTCAGGGAGGCAGTGAAAAAGTTTTGTTTACCTTTTTTCGATATCCCAGAGTTCTGCGATTTCGGTGCCACTGTGTGCGTGTGCGAGAGCCCATGTTACCTGTGTGTGTGTGCGAGCTGGTGTGCAAAAATGAAAATGCATTCTCAATAAAGCAAAATAAATGTGCCAACCGCTAAGAGAGTAGTGCATTCTAAAATTGGTAGTTAAAGCTGCGCACATGGAAAATGTGCCCGATATTTCCACCAGCGCTTCGTCCTCTTCAACTTCTACTTCTAATTCAACTTCCACACTGAAACTCCAAAGTAAGTAATCCCCAACTCCCACTCCCCCTCCTCCGCCCACACCTCTTCTTGTACATATGTATGTGTATGTAAGCTATATCTGTGCTGTAGCACCCGTTTCTCCCGATTTTCGATCTGATAACCGTGCTCTCCTCGATATCGGTTTTCCAATTAGTTATTATTTTGTTGTGTTTCGCTTTGCGCTGCGTTTTGTTTTCACGCTGTTTGGGGCTTTCTTTGGGCCGTTAACCCATTGGTGGCCGCGGTGCCTTTTTACGCCTT